CACCAGCAGAGGACGTGCGCGCGCCTGCAGCCGTCCGAGGGGTCGGCCTTCGACCTGCTTCCCCAGCTCCATGGAGAGCACGAGGACTGGCCATGTTTCTGGCACCGAGGATTGGCCCCCGTCACGTGGATCAACCCCCATGTCGACAAACTGCCAGAGTGGGAGTTCCGGGCAGAAGGGGTCATTCAGGAGAGCGCACGTGTTGAACTTCCCCCTGGGGCCCATGTAGGAGTTGACGGCAGCGGAGGCGATTTCTCAACTGATGCGAGGCTTCGTATGTGCGGATGGGGCGTTGCAGTGTGCTACAACGGGGGTATACAAGAGACTGCTTGGGGACCGATATTGGGGCGGCACCCGACGGTGCCTCTAACCGAGCTCGGGTCCTCATCCAGGCCTTCCTCGCGGTCCGCCACGGTCGTCGTGGACTGTGGTTATGTTTTGAAAGCGATCCAAGGTGGCCCAGGACATGTTCTACCCCTCCACGCTGCTGCCTTGGCCCGTTTTGGCACGAGTTTGAACAGTGGCCCGGGCAGGCTACGTTTCAAACATTTAGAGCCACCTAACGGAGGCCGATATTGGCCACCAAGTTGGGGAAAGACAGTTAACAGTCAACGAAGCGGCAGACGAGCGTCCTTAGCTAGCCTACCCCAGGACGTCTTGGCCGAGGTTTCGCGGGTCGACGATTTGGCCTCGCGTGTTTTGGACCACCTTCTTTGCGGTCGGCCTACAGGGGGCCAAGGCTAGGGATAAGGACGCAAACGCTCCAGGGGCTATGACCCCTGCTGGTTTAGTACCCGCCAAGCGAGCCCGTCAAGATGAAAGGGTCGCTGCCAAAATGGATGCTCGCGAAGCTACCTCCCACTCGGCTTCAATACGCGGGAATGGAAGCTCTGTCTGCAAGAAGTGCCTAACGGCACCGAGTCGAATCCTGTCAGTTTATCATTGGTTGAGCTTTTCCGCTTTGGGCTTTCCCCATCAGACCCACGCGTCCCACAGAATTCGGTGCTTGCGCGGGCTTTGGTGGTGTGAACTGTGTGGCGGCTCGGAGCACCAGCGTTTTCCTATGTTGGGGAAAGTTTGCCAGCGCCCAACCGACGCTGGCAAAAGGGCGATAACCAAGCTATCCAAAGGGCTCCCCCCTCCCAACGGGAATAGCCAGGGCAAGGAGTCCCAGGACCAGACGAGTCCTAAATGATTTTCCAGACTGGTCGTCATAAACCAGACTCTGGCCTAGCGCAAGCTGTTTGCAAGAGGAGGAGGAGGAGGAGGAGGAGGAGGAGGAGGAGCAGGAGAAGGTGTCCTTTCCAAGGGGGTGCTGCATTCGGGACAGGAACTTCGGCGGGGACGCCGGACTCGGTTCGGATCGCTCGGTTCTCTAACTTTTTAGATCGTGTTTGTTCCCAACTCACCTTGTTGTGTTGGGTCCTCGTTCTGAAGAGACAGCGCCCCGCGTCATTATTTCCTTCCTCCTCCCCCTGCTCCGTCCTCCCATCCCTGCCTCTGTCCCTTCGCATGTCCACTTCGCGTCGTGGCCCCATTCGGGGGCACCACCGACAACCCCAGTGGCAACGTCCACATGCGCCACCCCCCTGCCGATTTCGGCACACTGCTCACACATTTCGTGGTCCCGCAGGGAGCTCCACCGAAGGCCCCAGCGGCAGTGTCCACACGCGGCCCCCCCGCCAATGTCTACACACCCCTCACCCGTTCCGTGGCCCCGTAGGGAGCTCCAATTGAGGTCCCGGTCGCACAGTCCGCATGCATCCCCCCCACCCATGTCGGCGCACGCTTCACAGGCTTCGTGGCACCACCATAGGGAGCTCCACCGAAGGCCCCAGTGGCAGTATACGCATGCGTCCACCCATCCCGTCTCGGCACAGCACTCGCACGCCTCGTGGCCCCATGTGGATCTCCACCGAAAACCCCCAGTGGCCGTGTCCGCATGCGCACCCCCCGCCCATGTCGGCACATCCCCCACACGCTTCGTGGCCCCATGTGAAGCTCCACCGAAGGCCGTAGTGGCAGTGTCCACATGCGCCCCCCCTGCCCATGTCAGTAAACCCTTTCAGACGCTTCGCGGCACCAAGCCCCATTTCTGTAGCCATTTGGGCTCAAGCCGTTTCTGGACAGTTTTGCACACCAGCCCCGCCACGCCCGCAGCGGACCCTCCGTCTCGCCCATGGACGCCTTCGCGGTCGCGGGGCGCGCCCTGCGCCACGCCGTTGCGCCTCCCGCCGCGGCGTCCTACTCGCCCGCAGCGGCGGCGTCGCTGGCCCCCGTCGAAACCCCCGCGCTGCCCAGCAACGCTTCAGTCGCCGTCGCGGTGGCCGCAGCTGGCACCGCCGTCCTGGCGGCGGGGCGCCGCAGGCGCAAGACGCAGAAGGAGAGGCGCCTCGCGCGCAAGACGGCGCCCGTCGCTCTCGCGGTGTCCGCCCGCCAGGTCGCGCCGCCTGCGGCGGCGGCCTTCTGCGGCAGCCGCGCGGCGGCCGCCAAAGAGGTGTGCACCAGCCTGCGGGCCAAGAAGTCCGTGGAGGACCTCGGCGAGGCGGACCTCAAGGGGAAGACGGTGCTGATCCGGTGCGACCTCAACGTGCCCCTGAACGCGGACCTGGAGATCACGGACGACACGCGCATCACGGCCTCGATCCCGACGATCGAGTACCTCTGCAGCAAGGGCGCCAAGGTGCTGGCGTGCTCCCACCTGGGCCGCCCCAAGGACGGGCCCGAGGAGAAGTTCTCGCTGAAGCCAGTGGCGAAGAAGATGGGGGAGCTGATGAAGAAAGACATCAAGTGCGCCCCGGACTGCAAGGCCACGGACGAGGTGAAGGGGATGGTGTCGGCCATGTGCGAGGGAGACGTTCTGATCTTGGAGAACACTCGGTTCTACAAGGGGGAGACCAAGAACGATCCTGAGCTGGCGGAGAGCATGGCCAGTCTGGCGGACCTGTTCGTGAACGACGCGTTCGGTACCGCGCACCGCGCGCACTCCTCCACCGAGGGCGTGACCAAGTTCCTGAAGCCGAGCGTCTCGGCTTCTGCGGAAGAAGGAGTGGACTACTTGAAGGCGCCGTGACAGCCGGTGAAGCCAATGGGGCCGGAGTGAGGGCGCCAAGGTGAGCACGAAGATCCGCGGTGATCAGAAGTCCATGCTGCGAGAAGGTGGACAATGGTGATCATCGGCGGAGCATGGTCGTGTTCACCTTCATGAAGGCACGCGGCTCTCGGCGGGAAAACTCCCTGGGGAGGCACGACATTCACCCAGTTGTGAAAAAAGCTGGAGTAGCAGGCCAAGGCCAAGGCTCGAGTCATCATCCCGAGAGACATAGATTGCGCGATGATTCCCGCGGGGGGCAAAGAGAGGTGAACTACAAGGTAGTGCCCGCGGATGATATCCCGACGGCTGGCTCGGCGGGACAACGGCCCGAAGGCGACCGAGGAGATCAAGGCTGCTCTGGCGGATTGCAAGACGATCATCTGGAACGGCCCGATGGGCGTGTTCGAGAGCCCGCAATTCAGCAAGGGCACCTACGACGTGGCGGAGTGCATCGCCGAGCTGACGGAAAAGAACGGCGCCATCAGCATCATTGGTGGCGGTGACTCCGTGTCCGCGGTGAACAAGTCCGGCCTGGCACCGAAGATGTCGCACATCTCCACCGGGGGCGGTGCCAGCCTGGAGCTGCTGGAGGGCAAGGTGCTGCCAGGGGTGGCTGCGCTGGACGAGAAGGAGATGGCCGCCGCGGCGTTCTGCGGACAGCGCAAGGTCACCAAGGCTTCCAGGACCAGCCTGCAGGCCAAGAAGTCCGTGGAGGACCTGGGCGAGGCGGACCTCAAGGGGAAGACGGTGCTGATCGGTGCGACTCAAATCGTCGGCCCCTGAAACGCGACTGGAGATCACGGACGACACGCGCATCACGCCTCGATCCCGACGACGAGTACCCCTGCAGCAAGGGCTCCAAGTGTGGCGTGCTACCACCTGGGCCGCCCCAAGACGGGCTTCGCCGCCCTTTTCGCTGGAAGCCAGTGCGGGCGAAGAAGATGGGTGAGCTGATGAAGAAGGACTCAAGTGCGCCCGGACTGCAATGGCTACGGACGAGGTGAAGGGGATGGTGTCGGCCATGAGCGAGGGAGACGTTCTGATCTTGGAGAACACTCGGTTCTACAAGGGGGAGACCAAGAACGATCCTGAGCTGGCGGAGAGCATGGCCAGCCTGGCGGACCTGTTCGTGAACGACGCGTTCGGCACCGCGCACCGCGCGCACTCCTCCACCGAGGGCGTGACCAAGTTCCTGAAGCCGAGCGTCTCGGGCTTCCTGCTGAAGAAGGAGCTGGACTACTTGAAGGGCGCCGTGGACAGCCCGGTGAAGCCAATGGCGGCCATCGTGGGAGGCGCCAAGGTGAGCACGAAGATCCCGGTGATCGAGTCCATGCTGGAGAAGGTGGACAAGGTGATCATCGGCGGAGGCATGGTGTTCACCTTCCTGAAGGCACGCGGCCTCTCGGTCGGGAACTCCCTGGTGGAGGACGACCTCATCCCAGTTGTGAAAAAGCTGGAGGAGCAGGCCAAGGCCAAGGGCGTCGAGATCATCCTCCCGAGCGACATAGCTTGCGGCGATGAGTTCCCCGCGGGGGGCAAAGAGGTGAACTACAAGGTAGTGCCCGCGGATGATATCCCCGACGGCTGGCTCGGCCTGGACAACGGCCCGAAGGCGACCGAGGAGATCAAGGCTGCTCTGGCGGATTGCAAGACGATCATCTGGAACGGCCCGATGGGCGTGTTCGAGAGCCCGCAGTTCAGCAAGGGCACTTACGACGTGGCCGAGTGCATCGCCGAGCTGACGGAGAAGAACGGCGCCATCAGCATCATTGGTGGCGGTGACTCCGTGTCCGCAGTGAACAAGTCTGGCCTGGCACCGAAGATGTCGCACATCTCCACCGGGGGCGGCGCCAGCCTGGAGCTGCTGGAGGGCAAGGTGCTGCCAGGGGTGGCTGCGCTGGACGAGAAGGAGATGGCCGCCGCGGCGTTCTGCGGACAGCGCAAGGTCTCCAAGGCTTCCAGGACCAGCCTGCGGGCCAAGAAGTCCGTGGAGGACCTGGGCGAGGCGGACCTCAAGGGGAAGACGGTGCTGATCCGGTGCGACCTCAACGTGCACTGAACGAGGACCTGGAGATCACGGACGGGGGGGGGGGGTTAAAAACCCCCCACGCGATAGCACGGCCTGATCCCGACGATCGAGTACCTCAGCAGCATGGGCGCAAGGTGTCACAACCTCACTCAAGCCGCCCAAGGACGGGCCGAGGAGAAGTCTCGATGAAGCCAGTGGCGAAGAAGGAGGGGGAGCTGATGGAGAGGACATCAAGGTGCGCCCCGGACGCAAGGTACGGACGAGTTGAAGCCCCCCCCCCCTCCTCCGATGGTTGTGGATTGAGCGAGGGAGACGTGTGATTCCTGTGAGAGGAACAATCGGTTCACAAGGGAGAACCAAGAACGATCCTGAGCTGGCGGAGAGCCGGACATACTGGCGGGAACAAAGACCAACGGACGCGTTCGGCACCGCGCAACGCGCGCACTCCTCCACGAGGGCGTGACCAAGTCTGAAGCGATCGTCTCGGATTCCTGGCTGAAGAAAGAGCTGGACTACTTGAAGGGCGCCGTGGACAGCCCGGTGAAGCCAATGGCGGCCATCGTGGGAGGCGCCAAGGTGAGCACGAAGATCCCGGTGATCGAGTCCATGCTGGAGAAGGTGGACAAGGTGATCATCGGCGGAGGCATGGTGTTCACCTTCCTGAAGGCACGCGGCCTCTCGGTCGGGACCTCCCTGTGGTAGGTACGACTCATCCCAGTGTGAAAAAATCTGGAGGAGCAGGCCAAGCCAAGGGCGTCCAGGATATCATACTCCCGAGACATAGCTTGCGGCGACGAGTTCCCGAGGGGGGCAGAGGTGAACTACAGGTGGTCCCGCGGATTGATATCCCAGCGCTAGGCTCGGCCTGGACAATGGCCCGAAGGCGACTGAGGCAGATTCAAGGCGGCTCGGGCGATTGCAAGACGTTATCTGGAACGGCCCGAGGCGGCACGTGTTCGAGAGCCCGCAGTTCAGCAAGGGCACTTACGACGTGGCCGAGTGCATCGCCGAGCTGACGGAGAAGAACGGCGCCATCAGCATCATTGGTGGCGGTGACTCCGTGTCCGCAGTGAACAAGTCTGGCCTGGCACCGAAGATGTCGCACATCTCCACTGGGGGCGGCGCCAGCCTGGAGCTGCTGGAGGGCAAGGTGCTGCCAGGGGTGGCTGCGCTGGACGAGAAGGAGATGGCCGCCGCGGCGTTCTGCGGACAGCGCAAGGTCCCCAAGGCTTCCAGGACCAGCCTGCGGGCCAAGAAGTCCGTGGAGGACCTGGGCGAAGCGGACCTCAAGGGGAAGACGGTGCTGATCCGGTGCGACCTCAACGTGCCCCTGAACGCGGACCTGGAGATCACGGACGACACGCGCATCACGGCCTCGATCCCGACGATCGAGTACCTCTGCAGCAAGGGCGCCAAAGTGCTGGCGTGCTCCCACCTTGGCCGTCCCAAGGACGGGCCCGAGGAGAAGTTCTCGCTGAAGCCAGTGGCGAAGAAGATGGGGGAGCTGATGAAGAAGGACATCAAGTGCGCCCCGGACTGCAAGGCCACGGACGAGGTGAAGGGGATGGTGTCGGCCATGAGCGAGGGAGACGTGCTGATCCTGGAGAACACTCGGTTCTACAAGGGAGAGACCAAGAACGATCCTGAGCTGGCGGAGAGCATGGCCAGTCTGGCGGACCTGTTTGTGAACGACGCGTTCGGCACCGCGCACCGCGCGCACTCCTCCACCGAGGGCGTGACCAAGTTCCTTAAGCCGAGCGTCTCGGGATTCCTGCTGAAGAAGGAGCTGGACTACTTGAAGGGCGCCGTAGACAGCCCGGTGAAGCCGATGGCGGCCATCGTGGGCGGCGCCAAGGTGAGCACGAAGATCCCGGTGATCGAGTCCATGCTGGAGAAGGTGGACAAGGTGATCATTGGCGGAGGCATGGTGTTCACCTTCCTGAAGGCACGTGGTCTCTCGGTCGGGAACTCCCTGGTGGAGGACGACCTCATCCCAGTTGTGAAGAAGCTGGAGGAGCAGGCCAAGGCCAAGGGCGTCCAGATCATCCTCCCGAGCGACATAGCTTGCGGCGATGAGTTCCCCGCGGGGGGCAAAGAGGTGAACTACAAGGTGGTCCCCGCGGATGATATCCCAGACGGCTGGCTCGGCCTGGACAACGGCCCGAAGGCGACTGAGGAGATCAAGGCTGCTCTGGCGGATTGCAAGACGATTATCTGGAACGGCCCGATGGGCGTGTTCGAGAGCCCGCAGTTCAGCAAGGGCACCTACGACGTGGCGGAGTGCATCGCCGAGCTGACGGAGAAGAACGGCGCCATCAGCATCATTGGTGGCGGTGACTCCGTGTCCGCAGTGAACAAGTCTGGCCTGGCACCGAAGATGTCGCACATCTCCACCGGGGGCGGCGCCAGCCTGGAGCTGCTGGAGGGCAAGGTGCTGCCAGGGGTGGCTGCGCTGGACGAGAAGGAGATGGCCGCCGCGGCGTTCTGCGGACAGCGCAAGGTCTCCAAGGCTTCCAGGACCAGCCTGCGGGCCAAGAAGTCCGTGGAGGACCTGGGCGAGGCGGACCTCAAGGGGAAGACGGTGCTGATCCGGTGCGACCTCAACGTGCCCCTGAACGCGGACCTGGAGATCACGGACGACACGCGCATCACGGCCTCGATCCCGACGATCGAGTACCTGTGCAGCAAGGGCGCCAAGGTGCTGGCGTGCTCCCACCTGGGCCGCCCCAAGGACGGGCCCGAGGAGAAGTTCTCGCTGAAGCCAGTGGCGAAGAAGATGGGGGAGCTGATGAAGAAGGACATCAAGTGCGCCCCGGACTGCAAGGCTACGGACGAGGTGAAGGGGATGGTGTCGGCCATGAGCGAGGGAGACGTGCTGATCTTGGAGAACACTCGGTTCTACAAGGGGGAGACCAAGAACGATCCTGAGCTGGCGGAGAGCATGGCCAGCCTGGCGGACCTGTTCGTGAACGACGCGTTCGGCACCGCGCACCGCGCGCACTCCTCCACCGAGGGCGTTACAAGTTCTTTAGCCGAGCGTCCTCGGGATTCCTGCTGAGAGGAGCTTGACTACTTGTAAGGGCGCCGTAGACACCCGGTTGAAGCCGATGGCGGCATCGTGGGCGGCGCCAAGGTGAGCACTCGAAGATCCGTGATCGAGTCCATGCTGTAGAAAGGTTGGGACAAGGTGATCAATTGGCGGAGGCATGGTGTTTCGTAGCCAACGAAACCCAAGGCTCAAGGTCGGGAACTCCCTGGTGGAGGACGACCTCATCCCAGTTGTGAAGAAGCTGGAGGAGCAGGCCAAGGCCAAGGGCGTCGAGATCATCCTCCCGAGCGACATAGCTTGCGGCGATGAGTTCCCCGCGGGGGGCAAAGAGGTGAACTACAAGGTGGTCCCCGCGGATGATATCCCAGACGGCTGGCTCGGCCTGGACAACGGCCCGAAGGCGACTGAGGAGATCAAGGCTGCTCTGGCGGATTGCAAGACGGTTATCTGGAACGGCCCGATGGGCGTGTTCGAGAGCCCGCAGTTCAGCAAGGGCACCTACGACGTGGCGGAGTGCATCGCCGAGCTGACGGAGAAGAACGGCGCCATCAGCATCATTGGTGGCGGTGACTCCGTGTCCGCGGTGAACAAGTCCGGCCTGGCGCCGAAGATGTCGCACATCTCCACTGGGGGCGGTGCCAGCCTGGAGCTGCTGGAAGGCAAGGTGCTGCCAGGTGTGGCTGCGCTGGACGAGAAGGAGATGGCCGCCGCTGCGTTCTGCGGACAGCGCAAGGTCCCCAAGGCTTCCAGGACCAGCCTGCGGGCCAAGAAGTCCGTGGAGGACCTGGGCGAGGCGGACCTCAAGGGGAAGACGGTGCTGATCCGGTGCGACCTCAACGTGCCCCTGAACGCGGACCTGGAGATCACGGACGACACGCGCATCACGGCCTCGATCCCGACGATCGAGTACCTCTGCAGCAAGGGCGCCAAAGTGCTGGCGTGCTCCCACCTTGGCCGTCCCAAGGACGGGCCCGAGGAGAAGTTCTCGCTGAAGCCAGTGGCGAAGAAGATGGGGGAGCTGATGAAGAAGGACATCAAGTGCGCCCCGGACTGCAAGGCCACGGACGAGGTGAAGGGGATGGTGTCGGCCATGAGCGAGGGAGACGTGCTGATCCTGGAGAACACTCGGTTCTACAAGGGAGAGACCAAGAACGATCCTGAGCTGGCGGAGAGCATGGCCAGCCTGGCCGACCTGTTTGTGAACGACGCGTTCGGCACCGCGCACCGCGCGCACTCCTCCACCGAGGGCGTGACCAAGTTCCTGAAGCCGAGCGTCTCGGGCTTCCTGCTGAAGAAGGAGCTGGACTACTTGAAGGGCGCCGTAGACAGCCCGGTGAAGCCGATGGCGGCCATCGTGGGCGGCGCCAAGGTGAGCACGAAGATCCCGGTGATCGAGTCCATGCTGGAGAAGGTGGACAAGGTGATCATTGGCGGAGGCATGGTGTTCACCTTCCTGAAGGCACGTGGTCTCTCGGTCGGGAACTCCCTGGTGGAGGACGACCTCATCCCAGTTGTGAAGAAGCTGGAGGAGCAGGCCAAGGCCAAGGGCGTCGAGATCATCCTCCCGAGCGACATAGCCTGCGGCGACGAGTTCCCCGCGGGGGGCAAAGAGGTGAACTACAAGGTGGTGCCCGCAGATGCGATCCCAGACGGCTGGCTCGGCCTGGACAACGGCCCGAAGGCGACCGAGGAGATCAAGGCTGCTCTGGCGGATTGCAAGACGATCATCTGGAACGGCCCGATGGGCGTGTTCGAGAGCCC